TCTCTCTCTCTCTCTCTCTCTCTCTCTCTCTCTCTCTCTCTCTCTCTCTCTCTCTCTCTCGTAGTCTGCTGATGCAGTGAAGTCAGATAATGAGAGGGTGAGAGGGAGATGGTGGACTGAGAAGAGGAAGATGAAGAGCTCTCTCTCTCTCACGAGCCAGGTACTAACCTGTGAAGTTGGCGCTGTGCTGTACGTACCTCGAAGACGAAGCTGGAGCCACGCCGCTGCAGGTAGGTACTCCTGGCCTCCGCCGAATCTCTCTCTCTCTCTAGTGGTATCCTAGCTATGGCGCCCAGCGCTGAAGACTACAGCTACCTACTGGCACCCAGCGCTGAAGACTAATGCTAACGCTACTACTACTCCTGCAGCGCTCCCTCCAGAGTGCTGCTGCCGAATCCTGAAGACTACTGCCTCCTGCCTACCCGTGAAGTGCATGGGAAGTCCCTATGTACTATCTCGGCCTGCCTCCTGACTGCCTCCGACTGCCTGCAGTTGCAGGGCGGGCAGTCCAGGAGGCTGCTCTTGCCAATGCCGAACTGGGCCAGGGGCTGGCGCTGCAGCTGTCGTGGGAGCAGGCCAAAAAATAGCCTGTTCCTAAAACCCTGGTTCGGTGCCTGAGTTTCAGGGCAGGCCGGTCTGATGACAGACCGGAAATGGCCCTTCGTTTCAGGCTAAAAAGGCTACTGCCATTTTTATTCTGAAACGACACAGGGTCTGTGGGCCCCTGTTTTTCAGGCTTTCGAGCTGAATGGTCACGGGGCCTGTAGGCCCTGGTTTTCAGGCTTTCAGCCTGAGGGACGCAGGACCTGGAAAATGACCCTCGTGTGCAGGCGCAGCATGTACCAATGGTCTCAGGGGTTTGTCCAGAATAGATCGGTACCCGAAGGATACCAGCGCAAAATTTCTGAGATACAAAAATGTAAGCATACTGGTACCGATAAAAGAGCCTTTACGAATTAGACCCCAGATGAATGCCCCAACAGCGAGGGGCCCTCTCGGCCAGAACTTAAATTCACGAGCAGCAACCCAAAAGACAAAGTTCCTGAGGCAAATGTCGCATCCATAATGAAATGAAAAGTCCTTTTGAACATTCACAAACAGGTCCTGAACGAACAGGTATTGGACACAGTTTTCAAGACTGAGTTAGGGTCATGTCTCCTCGATGGGAAGTCATGTCTGTTCGGCAATGAGTCAAAGGCCACAGTCCCAGTCCAGTCATAATCCCACGAGTCAGTCCTGACTCAGACCAGGAGTCCAAAAGACAGTCCTGACTCAGACCAGGAGTCCAAAAGACAGGCCCAATGGCCCAAGGCAGCAGCAGACCATGGGAAAAGATACTGGGACATACACTTTCCAACAACAGGTACTGGGCAGGAGTCCCAGACACTTGAGGCTGAATGCAGGCCACGCCAGGCCAGTCCAGCACTATAAAGGACTAGCCAGCCTCCCATTTGGACAGATGCTCACTTCGCATGAGAGTGTGGAAGTGCCATGGCACTTGTGCGCTAGATGTGTCTGAGCTGCGCTAGGCTGAGAGCAGCGCTAAGCGTGAGAGAGAGGGAAGAAGGGTGCTGGCTGGAGGAAAGCAGCCATAGCTGTGCCAGCGCAAGTTAGTACATTAGTAGGGATAGTTAGTAGAAGAGTTCAGTGAGTAGTATTCAAAGTAGATCCTCGTGTGATAGGGAGTGTGCATGCATGATGAGTGTGGGTAGACCAGGACTATAGACATAATGGGAGAGAGAGAAGAAAGCAGACAGGAGAGGGGGAGGAGTGAGCTATGGTGACACATACCTGTTGAGCGCTGTTGCTGACGTTTGGCAGCTGGTGCTGATGAGCGCCAGGTATGGAACTCATGTTGATCGAAGAAGATTTGTAACTCTGTTCGGCGCTATACACTTTGGACACACGAATTTCCTCTCTTAATCTGGTTATGATAATTGATTTGAGCTTCCTGGTCCTCATTCATCTTCTATTGGGCTTTGTGTGAGACATCGCAATCTGTGAAATCTGTATAAATGCATGTGATCTGATGCACTCCAGCAAGTGATGAACAGTCGGGTTCCTTGCACCGAGGACATGCCAGAGAAATAAATGTGTGGTACCCAGCATGATGTCCAGGGATTGATTCCTTGTCAAAATTGATGGATGGAAGCTACAACCTCACCCCTCAAATCACCAGCAGCCCCGAGTCCATTATTCCAAACCTGCCCTGGTGGGCCACGCTCGAAACCAGGATTGGTCAGACAGGTAGTTTCGAGAATTAGCACAGTCAGGAGATCAAACTCTTTGTGGAAGTCATAAACTTATAATGTGTTACTAACAGCTCACACTTTCTTAATGCCCTGTGCGCCACTGTGCTAGATGTTTGCAACCACACCACTGCAACAATGTGGTGAATACCAGGACTTACCATAAACAAAGGCACCGATAGCTTGTGCGTAATGTTCGGATCCATACTAACCCTCTGAATGAATCCAGCAGTGGCTTAACTTGGAACACAGAAGAAGTAAAGGATATGAGTGCGAACGATATACGAGAAGTATAGGACTGTGCAAGGAATATGAGTGCGAACAAAATACAGAAAACCGAGTTGCGAAATCACACAGATGTCCAAGTAGTCGTGTACAAGCACAGAGCACAAATGCACCGAGAATCCATCCAAATAGAGCAATACACTGAAGTAATGAGCCAATGTTCAAGCCCTCAGGCCACACCAACACAGCATCCAATGCTGCTCTTCTCTGTCTGGCGCCCAGCGCCCAGCCTACTCGACTATCCTACCTGCAGCTGTATTCATGCAACAGGCTCACTTCGACTCTCGAAGACCAGTGTACATGATGTCAACACCATAGCCGACCTCTCTTCATGCACCAGATGTGTGTCTCATCACCCTCATCACACCTTGATCACCCACACACTCGCCTACTTCCTGAAGACCACCGATCCCCCTTTACCCCCTAGCGCCCAGCAGCCCCGCTAGTATGGCTGCCCGCGCTCCGCGGCCCTGCAGCGCACCTCCTCACCTCAACGCGCCCCGCAAGCGCACTGGCCGCAACGCAGCATCCGATGCAGCAGCACAGCAGCGTGACCGCATTGCCTGCATGGGCCAGAATGCCTGGCCTGGGCTGCCTCACTCCCTATATGGAAGTGGCAGCCTCCTGGATGCTGTGTGTGGCCTGGCTGGAAGCTTCCAGTAGCTTCCGGTTGGGCCTCAATTCCTGCGCCCAGGCCCGAGACTACACTTGAGGGCCCGGGCCCTTTACAGTTGGACACGGCCTGAGTCTCCGGACTTGGGTCGTTTGCTGCATTTGCACAGGACCCCGGGGTCAGTACGTCGACAGTACTGCTTTTGCATAGGCCTGTGGGCCGTGGCTACTTCATGATGTATCGGCCCTGCTTTGTGTGTATGTGCCCAGGCGCAACTGTCAAGGGCCTGGGCCAACTGTACGACGCAGCTTAAGGATGCTTGCGCGTCCACTCAACCAACTGGCGGGCTGCAACAACCTGAATACCCATATATGAAAATGTCGAGTTTTGGCCTCTGATGAATATTCAGGCCCGCCTTCACTTAGGGCGGGCACTCGGCTTGCTGGGGGCCTCTGCCCAGAACATGTGTTTGCCTGATAAGGGCCCCTGTGAGGGCTCGTTCCTCGCAACTGACTATTCACTACCAGTCATCTAAGACGAACAACTGACAGGCACCAAGCCGCTAGGCTCAGAATTGTAGTTGAATGTAACATTTACACA